AGAACCTGAGAGGGAGAGCAGGAGGAGCAGAGAGCAGGGTGCTGGGCAAGAAGGCTAAAACCTTCAATGTAGGGAATCTCCTTCCATTTTTTCAGAAGCCAGCAGAAGATAAAAAGGACCCAGAGAAGATTTGGATCTAATGAGCCTTCTAGAGGCCAATGACTGCCATTATCCAGAGGATAGGTAGGCCAATCTTGGGTACAGAATTTGATCAGGAGTTTGGGCTTGATGTCTGGTACGAGGGAGAGTGTGGTCAGATTTTTTGTCACCCGAACTGCAGCTCTCGGGAGGCAAAAAGCCGGAGGCCACAAAGAACCTAGTACTAGGATTTACTGGTTACAGAAGGAGGAGAAGGAAGAAACCGAGGGGTCTCTCGCCTAAACCCAGAAGTCTCACTCCCCAAAAGGAGAACGGGTCGCCAGAGAGTCCATTGCGGTCGTAAAGGCCTTAGTGGGGTGGGTTCTCTCCCCTCTATCGGGAGTCAGGAGTACCAGACGATCATGGTCACAGTTCCTGCTGTAGCCCGAAGAGGGTGACCTGCCAGAAGGGGAAATTACTTAAGTCCGATCGGTGGTGGGTGTAAGGAGCCAGTGCCTGAAAAGTTGGACGAGGGTGAGATGTCTCAGCAGAGCCGGAGATGGGGCTCTGTTAAAATGAGCTCACCCGTCTCCAGGTTTCGGCACCAATGAAAGAAGCAGCAACGCGGGACAAATCACCAGAGAAGTTCCATTTTATTACAAAAGGCTGTGGGCTTATATAGATCTAAGGAGAGGTGGCAGGGCTTAGGTAAATGACGGGTCACCCGTTTATTGGTAAGTTCTTCCATATGTCAGTTCTGGAGCCCACGAAATTAGTTCTTATTGGGGCTAAGGTTTCCTGCCAGCAGGATTTGAATATCGGCGCCAGCGGGAAAGGGAGAGGCAGGAAGAGAAGCTCCTCAGGCACCATGTTGGGTTTTTTTTGGGTGTGGCTGCCATTATACCTTTTCCCAACACAGCATACAAAAGGGACACAGCCATATCAAGGTTTATAGCAGCACAATTCACAATACCTAAATTGTGAAACCAACCTAGATGCCCTTTGGTAGATGGATAGGGAAACTGTGGTATATATACTGAGTAATGGAACATTACTCAGCATTAAAAGAGAATAAAATCATGAAATTTGCATAGAATGGATAGAGTTGGAGAACATAATGCTAAGTGAAATTAGTCAATCCCTCAAAATCAAAGGCCAAATGTTTTCTTGGATATGAGGAGAAGATGCTGACTCATAGTGGCGATGGTGGGGGGACATGACCCATGGGAGGAATGGAGGAGTTCTAGATAGGGCCAAGGGGAGGGAGGGGAAGGGAGAAGGCAAAGAGGTAGGAAAGATGGGGAATGAGTTAGACATTATTACCCTAAGTACATGTATGAAGACAGGAATGGTGTGAAAATACTTTGTGTACAATCAGTGGCTTGAAAAAAATCGTGCTCTATATGTGTAATATGAAATGAACTGCATTCTGCCATCGTGTATAACAAATTGGAATAAATAATTTAATTTAAAAATCTTCTGGTAAAAATCAGCTTTGAAAAGCTAGAAAATTCCCTACACCATGGTAATAAAAAGTATGTAACATAAAAGTACAGAGCCATTAGCAATTATTAAGATTTTAAAGTTACCTTGCTTTCATATAAATAAGTTTTGCTCTACCCATACTTGCTTCATGAATCAGGCATGAAGTTATCAAGTATAAAATAAAGACTGTACTTTAATATCTTTTTACATAAAATAAAACCAGTAGTGTATATGTGTCTCACAAATGTTACTGTTTAGTGATAAAATATAAATAAAATATCTCCAGAAATGAAAACAAAAAATCTTCCAAATATAGTAATTTGCCATTTGCAAATTGAAGTCAGTCAGGAAACTAAGCCTAGAAAATTAACGGAAAAACTAGCTGGGCGTGGTGGTGCACACCTGTCATCCCAGCAGCTTGGAGGCTGAGGCAGGAGGACTGCAAGTTCAAAGCCAGTCTCAGCAATTTAGCAAGTCCCTCAGCAAGACTCTGTCTTAAAATTAAAAATAAAAAGGGATGGGGATATGAACAGTGGATAAATGTCCCTGAGTTAAATTCCTGGTACCAACAAAACAAAATAAAAGAAACAAACAAAAAACTGATCTCCACTACAATCTGGTACAGATAAGCACTCAGACCTTGCTGTGGGGTAATTCTTATGGTAAGAATGTACAAGTGACAATGGAGGAACAGAGGAAGATCAGAAGATGGGGGTTGACGAGGTCCCAGTCAGGGGGTAGGTGTGGGGTGGAGCAAGAAGGGGAACCTGCATGCGGCAGGATCAGCCTTGTCACCGTGCACTTAGCTGCTTGTGCAACGTGTTCACAGACCCTGGGAATGTGGAGGCTTTGGGAAAACAGGAAGTTAATAAATTTTTTGATATACATAGAAATCTTTAAACACACTTCTTGGGGAGGAAAAGAGGGAATAAAATCAACCAAATTATGCTACATGCATGTATGAATATATCACAATCCGGAACTTTTATGTATGATTATAACGCACCAAATAAGAAATAGTTAGAAGGAAGACCAGAGGAGTACAGGAAGGCAATCAGTGGGAAAGAGGAGGCGACAGACAGAGGAAGTAAGGGGACAAAAGGGAGCAGATGATGCTGTGCGCACACATGAACATCACACTGACCACCACTACTGTTAGGCAGCTATTCAGTCAGGAATAGGTGAGCAGGACAAAGACAGCAGAGGGCACAGAACCACAGGAACCTTATCTGACAGATGGGGGCGTGGTAGGTAAAACCTGTCTCATTAAGGAAGCCGGTTCCTGAACCTATATGTGAAGTGCTGGGCCTGCATTTTCTTCTAGCATGTGCGGGGTTTCTGGTCTAATTCCTAGGTCTTTGATCCACTTTGATCTGAATGCTAGAAATGAAATAAAAAATCAACAAACTAAAAATCTTCACAGCAAAGGAAACAATCAAGAGCATGAACATAGAGCCTATAGAACAGGATAAAATTGTTGCCACCTGCACCTCAGATAGGGTGTTAATCTCCAGGATACACAAAGAACTCAAAAAAGCTTAACATCAAAAAAATAAATAACCCCATCAATAAACAAATGGGCAAAAGATCTGAACAGATACTGCTCAGAAGAAGAAATACAAATGGTTAACAAATACATGAAAAAAAGTTCAAGGTCTCTAGCAATTAGAGAAATGCAAATGAAAACTACACTGAGATTTCATCTCATTCCAGACCAAATGGCAATTATCAAGAATAAAAGAATAAAAGTAACAATAAATTTGGTGAGAATGTGGTGAAAAAGGCACACTCATACATTTCTTGTGGGAATGTAAATTGGTACAACCACTTTGGAAAGCAATATGGAAATTCCTCAAAAAACTAGGAATGGAACCACCTTATGACCCATTATCTCATTTCTCTTTTTATATCCAAAGGATTTAAAAGCAGCATAATACAGTAACACAGCCACATCAATGTGTACAGCAGCTCAATTCACAATAGCTAAGCTATGGGGCCAACCTGGGTGCCTCTCAATAAATGAATGGATAAAGAAAATGTGGTGTATGTATACACAGTGGAATATTAATCAGCCATAATTAAGAATGAAATCATAGCATTTGCTGGTAAATGGATGGAACTGGAGAATATAATGCTAAGTGACATAAGCCAATCCCCCCAAACCAAAGTCCAAATGTTCTGATATACAGCTGCTAATACACAATAAGGGAGGATGGGTAGGGGAAGAATAGAAGTTCAATAGATTAGACAAAGGGGACTGGAGGGAGGAAATGGGGGATAGGAAAGACAGTAGAATGAATCTCAGTTTTCCTATGTACATATATGAAAACACCACAGTGAATGCCATCACCCTGTACACCCATAAGAATGGGGTCCTAATTAGAATAAGATATATCCCATGTTTGTATAATTATATCAAAACAGATTGTCACATACAACTAAAAAAAGAACCAATTTAAAAAAAATGTTTCAGATTTAATTAAGAAAAACTACTCTTTCCTGGTCATGTCTTGTTACCTCTAATAACTAAGTCTCCAGGACCCTCCCTGATCACCAAAACTATGTCACAACCCCATCACCCCAATTGCCCAAACAACAAGACCCTCACAAAACTTGATCGGGACTATTCAAAGGGTTATGAGCTGATTAAGGAGGGTCAGGAAATTGAGACAACAACAGCAAGTGACTCAAGTTCCTTAAAAGCTCCTTCTCTAAAAGTGCCACCCCATCCTCTTGGAGGTGGTCCATGCAGCTCCTACAGTCAGAAGTCAGAAGGTGGACTGGGCTCAGGACCAGCCTCCGCACCTTAGCGAGGCCCTAACCAAATGGCCTGGAAATGCAGATGTAGCTCAGATTCCCAGTATCTCTGGGCTCATCCTCTAGTCTCCATATACAGAGAAGTTGGGACCAGCGGGACTTCCCCCAGAAAGCAGGAGGGGCGCAGCCAACCTCTCCCCTTCGAGAGGGCCCAGTCTCTCCCTTGAGTGACCCCTTTCCCTTCTGATAAACTCCTGTCTGTCACTCTGAGGGACAGATCTGAAGTCTGACCCGATCGCCAGAGGGCGGTTTCGTTCCCGAAAGGCCCGGGCTCTGCAACACTGCTCTGCATCATCATCATGCACGAATGAAGACATTTTAAAAGTTGATTTAGGGAGCTGGGGCACAGCTCGGTGCTGGAGTGCTTGCCTCGCAGGCACGAGGTCCTGGGTTCTAATCCCCAGCGTCATTAAAAGAAAAAATAAAAGGCTGCACTTTTTGAGCCCTTTTGAACACAGAGGGCCAGGAGACCCTCGCAGCTTCCTCACTCGGGCTGTCCAGCTCTGCAGGAGCTCACTCCCGCAGCCTCCGCGCGAGCCGGCGCTTCCCGGCGCGCCCACCCGGCCCTCGGCCCCGCTCCTCCCGGCCCACTGCCCTGGCTGGGGTCCTTCCCCACTCACCCCCGGAACTCCATCCGCAGGTCGCGGCCCCCGGACGAGGTAGCCCATAGTGCGCCCAGAGGAAACAAGGACTTCAGGCAAACTTGGCAGAGTTGAACTAGGAGGGCACGATTCGGAGCGCAGCCGGCCGGGGAGCTACGGGCCCGGCCAGGACCCGAGCCGCCGCAGCGCGCCAAGAGACCGCCAGGCCGAGCCCGCCTTCAGCCAAGGCTGCCTGTGATTGGCTGGAGCTTGGCTGCTGTGATTGGCTGAGGCTTCCCCACGTGAGAGCGGTATCCTGGCTGCTGTGATTGGCTAAGAGACGACGGTCACAAGAAGGTACGGCTATTAACTTCTCCTTACGTCGTGAGTTAGGTGGCAGATCCTTACGTAAGGAGTCGGGTACGGGGGCGCCCTGAGGCCAAACTTCGTGTCACTTTGCCCATCCTTCCTGTGGTTCAGATGCGGTGGTGCAAAGGAAAAGAGATGGAGAAAGAAGCTGAGAAACAGTACCGGCCCTTTGCCTGGACAAATCAGGGTTTTGTATGTGTGAATAATCAGCGTTTTGTTTTATTCCGGCCGCTCAGCTCCTTGAACCCAGGGGCGCTAACCGCGAGCCACCTCCCCAGCCCCCCTTATTTATAAGGCCTCTGGATCCCTCAGCTGTGCCCGCGGCGCCGCCGATCAGTATTTCTTTACGTCCACCTGCTTCATGTCTTCCACTAGGCACAGCAAAAAACGAGTAGGAGAAGATTTCAATGGGTGAAGAGAGCAAGAGGGATTGATTAAAACGACACTGCAGCTTTCTGTTTTCTCCTTGCGTGCACGTGGGCACGTGGAGGAGGTTACAGCCTTCTGCAGCAGAGCCCAAGGAAGTACTAACGCAACGAGAACAGCCCAGTCCGCCTGTCTCAGTACTTCCAAAATTCAAGTCTTAGCTCCACCGCATTATGCAGTTTTACGGTTTCCAGAGGCAATGCTGCCAGTGATTTCTTGGTGTGTTTTTCCATAAAAATATCTTGGGTGTTGCTGAGATCTTCATTCACCCACTGGCTCCTTGTTCCTGCAAATATATGTCTCCATATATTTCTGTTTCTCACTCTGCCAGTGTGGTATGCCCTGAGGTTAAACTTCAGGTAGACTGTGAATGGTGTCTTTGTAAGGGGTCCTTGGAACAAACTTTGTCACCTTGCACTCAGGACTTTTATTTGAATAAACAAACCAAAAATAAGTCCTCACTTTATTTAGGTCATAAAATAGACCCCCTAAAGTAATTAAATCTCCCAGGACTTAGCTGTTATCTTAGCTGATGAAAGTTTATATCACAACCATTTTAATTTAAGCTGTGTGGAAGGGATGGCTGGGTTGCTTGTGTTCAATGTTCTTAGTAATAACCACCTCCCCCCACTCAGTGTTCAGTGTTCTCAGTAATAGCCACCTCCCTCTCTCCTTATTGCCATATGCTCATGCCTCTAACACAGGGGAGGCCAAGGGGCTGAATTTGACCCAATGGTTTGAGGGTAGCAGTTGTGCTTCTTTGAGAGATCCTTAAAAGAGGAGGTTGAAACAGCTAGGAGACTCTTACATCTCTCCTCCTTCCTCCTTCCTCTTGTCTGGAACGTGGACTTTGGAGCTGGAGGAACAGCAGCCATTGAGGATGGAAGCCACATGTGGAGACACTAGAGAATAATAACAGGACACCGGGTGTGAATGACACCGCTGTCATTTCCAGATCAGCTCTGGACAACTACAGTCTGAATTCATTTATGTGAGAGGAAGGTAAACTTTTGTTAAAGCCAGTGGTACTCAGGTCTCTGTTATCACTAGTAAAGTGCAATTCTTCCTACTAAACCCAGTTCATCATGAAACTTTTCAAACTTAGCAAAGCTGAGCACACTGTTTCATCTCCAGCCCCCATGCTCACCAGGACTTCAACACTGTGTCCACTCACCTACTCCACACCTCCACGTGAATCTCTAAGGGATCCCTCAACCTTGACACAGCCATAACTGAATGCTGATTCTCTCTTGCTCTTTGTCTCTCCGTTTCCCCATCTCAGAAATGGATAACCTCATCCTTCTGGTTTCCTTCTGGTTTCTCAAGACTACAACTTGGAGTCACCTGGCTCCACTCTATTCACGCCCAAGGCCACATCCACCAGCAAAGCTTTCAACTCTGCCTTTAAATTATTAACCCAGCACCAGAAACCTCTCACCTGTCCCACAGCTCCGCCCCACGCTGATCATCACCTCACTGTGGGTTCCCGCTGGTCTTCAGGTTTCTGCCTGCCCTCCTCTACCATAGCCCAGGCCCAGCCAAGCATCTGAAACAATTTTTGAGTCAGCAGTCAGAGCCAACCCTTCTCTGCTAGACACTCCAGTGACTGCCCTCCAGAGGCCACCAAGGCCTGTGCATGTGGTCTGCCCCCAAGCCTCTGACAAGCCACCTCCTTGCTCCTGGACACTTCCTGTCTCCAGCCCCAGCAGGCTCTTTGTACCTCTGCACCACCTGGGAGCCCCTGCCTCTGGGCTTTGGTGCTGCTGGTCTCTGCTTGGGGTGATTTTTTCCCCAGAAATTGTTATGGTTTGCTCCCCTACTTCACCATCCTGTTTTAAATTCCAACTTTGATGTCCTTTACCCTGGTTTATTTATCTCAAGTGCTGTCATCACCATATACCCTGCCACTATAATGCCAGATTCATGGGACCCCAATAGACCTCCAGGAGCCGAATCACAATCACAAAAGAGTCTCTCTCTCTCTCTCTCTCTCTCTCTCTCTCTCTCTCTCTCTCTC